ACTACTCTCTCTCTCTCTCTCCTCCTCCTCCTCTCTCTCTCTCTCTCTCTCTCTCTCTCTCTCTCTCTCTCTTTCTCTCGTTGCGGTACGTTTGCGGTGCATCTCTACGATAATCGATCGATACCGCCCATTTCTCCTGCAAGAGCAGTGAATTTGTTAGCGCATTTATTGAAATTTGTTTATGAAGCCATTCCACGCTAATGTAATTACGCTCACATTTTAACGCGACGGCGCGAACCACTACAGTAATTTTATTGTTGCATTTTCATAGTTTAATTTTCCGAGAACCGTACAGTGCGTTGCGGATATTTTGGTACTAAACATTTTGGTACTAAACATCCGGATGTACTTAATAGCGAGAGCGCATTCTATTTTATATTTCGACAATTTATTCAAAAGCGATGTATAATATCGCCGTATTTGCAATAAAATATCGTCGCCAAATTAATCGTATTTGCGCAATAAATTGCTACGTGTCGTGTCACGCTAAATCACCATTATTTTGTTGATCCGCTTTGCGATATTTTTCAATAATGCGTAAAAGTGTACCAGGTGAGACTTGAAATTTCTAAGGTAAATCACATAAATCAGAGGGTCTCATTAAAGAAACAACCGGTGCACTTCACGATTTCCACATTCACGAATTCCACTATCGGGGATTACTATGCTCAGAGGGAATTTAAAGAACATCGCACCTAGCCTTATTTTATTTCGATCTATGATCTGTTTGAATTTTTTTGGACGCACATTTTAAGATCTCTGTAAAATGAACATCTTTTCTTTTCGATATATTTATAAAGTCTTCCCTCACAATGTGTAATATTTTAAGAAGAATATTCAGTAATTAAATCAAAAAGAAAAAACTTAAAAAATCTAGTGTACTTTTACTTTCTTTTTTTTTTAAATCAACACAATATCTTAGATTACTTGAGTAAGTTTGCAAACTACGATCGATAGAGGCAACACGTCAACGATCGGAACTTTTTGCCAAGCGTTTTAAATAATGAAAATCCATCCGAACGCCTTGATGTCTTGACGAATGCCGAATGGACAGGGTAGAATTGCGTGCTACCTCGTTCCGGTTGTATGTTCGCTTTCATTTGTTCAACCTGTCTTCAAAAGACAACCGTCCTCGTCCGTGTATTGAACTTCCTCCTGCGATTAAATATTTAATACGTGGATCAATACCATTCCGTATATCCACGCGTTCTCCGCGACACGAGCTATCCGGCTGTTCTATGCGAGACTCTTCCACTAACCAGTCCGAGAAATTACGAGTCGACCCTTCGCCTTTCTCATACGCAAACACACTCACGTATGTCGGACGTCATTCGCAATCTGCTTCGCTACCTCTTTGAAGATGTGGCAGCCACAAACCTTTTTCTCGCAACTGATATGGCGGAAACAAAAATACAGGATTCACCTTATGAGAACCGTTCCGGAAAAATAGTTTTTATTCTTTTCTCCTGACAGCGCGCAAGCGAAAGATTTAAGTTAGTAAAGATAACATAATCATTCTAAAATATTTTTTATACGTTTTGCTGTGTACCTTACGAATCTTACATCAGCGCTACCTTAATTAATTTATTTTAATAAGTAATATTATATACTTTATCTTCTTTCAAGTTTTCATAAAGTTAATAATAAATAAAATTAATAATGGCATAAAAGTTAAAATATTTGTTCAATTTATTGTATACATGAAAAATGTTTGTTTTGCAATTGTATCGATTATTTCGTGTTTCGTTTTTCCTTAATCGATATATTAAATCGTTTAAATGTCAGAGTAGTATGCATTGACATGAAACTTTTTACCTCTTGACGACGATTATCTTTTCTCATAGTTCACCTACGTTCTCAAACGCCTATCATTTTGCGTCCTTTTACCTTTCCTAAGTCGCGCACGATATGTCACGCCATTTTCTTGAACGCAACGTACGTTGCAATTCAGCGTCGACGGTAATGTCACGTTACCACGAAGGAAGTAAAAATTTTCATGGCTCCATGTCGCACGGCGTAGGTTGATACCACGTGCAGGATGAACTATAAGAAAAACTGGAAATTACCCAGAAGAACGATCGTTTAAACGTAATGACAATAATAAAGAAGAAAATCACTGCGACGGCAAAGTTAAGGGTACAAGATACGGGCCCTTTATTCTAAAACTGTCTTAAACCAGAGTTTGAAATTCTTGTGAAAGAATTCAAATTGAATGTAATATGATATTAATTATATTATAAGTAGAATTAATTTGTACTTTTTAATTTATTTTAATTTATCACGTCTCAAAATTTGTCGAATATCTTATAAAAGAGTGAATTCTAGTATATGAGTTTAAAAATAACTTAAGAAAAAGAAAAAGATCACGTTGTTGAGAATAATTCTTTTTCGATGACAATTTCATTTATATATCTTTGCGTTATGGACTATTCGAAGATAAAAAGAAAGCTATGGCAAAAACATTTGTAGATTGCTCTCCGTCTCTCGACATCTACTTTAGTTTCTGTAATCGAAAATAGTAAATTATATGTGCTCTATAGATTTCTATGACTACGGTATACTTCTTCCTTATACCTTTCGTGTGATGGTCGTAACTATAAACGAGAATGAAATTCGCTCAATAAAGTGCGACTGTACTGCTGCACCGCGCCCGTACATATGTATGAGTACATACAAATGTACGGTTAGAATAAAAAGATTTTTCAGAGACGAGACTGAGTAGTACTCCCGGGTGTTAAAGTATCCTGGGCTTTTAAACTGGTTGCCCTAGTTCCCCCGTCTCCCGTTCCTTCTGAATGTTTGATGTTGAAAAATTCGCATACTCTCGGAACGCTGATCTTCTTTTAATTCTTCTTTCCGGTATCTTTCCGCTTATCTGCTACGGACATATCTCTAGCCGCGAGTACGAACGTAAGAAAAATCGCTGTACTTAGTGACATCTTAAGCGATTACTCTGCGAATATAGTGCCGGCGAATTACCTATCCGTGATGTTATGAATTAAACACTTGAATTCTAACAATTATCTGATTGTAGACGAACATACGTTTACGTTTAAATCGAAAAACGTGTTTTCCTTAGAATACAAGCGATTTCGTTCACTTTATTAGATATCGCTTTTGAATGTGATATCTAATAAAAAATGCTTTAATCGATTTTACGTATTTATAATTTATCGATTGATTTATTATTCGCGAGGAAAACGGAATAAAATCAATTTTGTTGAAATTTTGGGAAATATACGAAATTAGCTATTTGCGTCAAAATATGGCTGAATACGATTAAACTCTGCGTTAAGGAATATGTCATCAAAGGGTATTAGTCAATCGCGCTTCCTATATAAGCAAGCGGAGATTACTCAGTCGATGTGTAGTTCATACCGGTTAACGAGCTGACCGCACAGGACACCCACGGTTGATCCACATGCCGATCTCGTCGACGTTCGAACTCTGATCTTGCATTTGTGGCCAATCAGCAGCTTTGATATCAAAGGACCTGGAGCCGCTAGAATGGGAACCCGAACGTTCGTAAGACGCGTAATTCCAATATAATTATCTAAGATCGTAACCATAATTGCTCGTTTATTATGCCTGCACTTCCAAAATCGCATATTATCCCTCTTGATGTAACTATTGTAAATTATCGAAGTTACATGGACGAAACGTACTCGAGATGTTTACAACGTTCTGTAATAATTTGAAGCTGCCCAATGCCCCGCATTGGGAGAACACAAATTTAAAAACACAAATTTGTAATGAAAATAGTAATTGCGATACTTATAACAAGAATTTATTTTATATATATATATACATATATATATAATTCAAGTTGTGTGCTGCGCACACAATGCGTTTCACGAAGGAAGGAGCGTATGGCTTGTCAGCGGAATGCATTTAACTCTGACACGCACAGCGCTTTAAACTCATCAGCTTTTACATGGGATTTCAAATGACTCGCAGGAGGTTTCAAACGAAAAACGCAAGTCAGTTGGTCAATCCATTAGAAGCATTTCGTTCGAGAGTTGCTGCGTAATGCTTGCGATTCGACTGACTTGCATTACACATGCATTGCCTCAGGAAGCATATGCCGCCGACTTATGACATTCCTTCTCTTCCCTTTACTGAAATCCATCGCTCATGGTTTTAAAATGCAGGATTCTATTACCGTAATGCGGGATCCTATTACGAACGGAAAGAAACACGTATAAATATTTCTTACGCGCGTACGTAAAAAAAACAAAGGAAAAAAAACAAATATGGTAATTTTATCAGCGGAAGCCGCGGCAAACGGAAAGTTGCAACTTCGTACGTACGTGACAAAAACTATTAGTACTCTCTTTTACATTGTATTTTATTTTTTAGTAACTCACGAGCTTACGGGTGTACACTTTTCGGAAACGCGTTTTTGCCGCGTCCCTTTGTTGTCGCGTGTGTACCGACACACTCAGTTTGCACAGATCCCAAGTGCCGCCGAACGGTGCGGGATGTTGTTGCGTTGTTTGACGACTGCAGAATCTGAAGCGCATGCTCGCGAATCGTAACTACGGCGTTCCGTTTAAAATTGCCCGATAATGGCCGCTGCGGTTTCGGATTGACGGCCGGCTCTTTTGTACCTATGCTCATGCAAACACGCTTTCATTCGTCCTCGCCCGATTCCTGTCATCGGGTTGTCCATCGAACTCTGATTTTCGCACGTGTCCGTGCTCGCTAGTCTCGCAACTTTATAAGCAATAACCGAACGCAAGCGCGACAGGTTTATGGGTTGTTCTCTCCTTATGTCCTTCCATTATGGTTGCAGATGCGGTCAGGGTTTTTTATGCATAAGTGTTTTACGAGGCACAAGCTCTTCTTATCACAATCCACGCGCGGACAAGAAAATAAAATGTAATTCCATGGCCAGGGAAAGAAAAGAGAGAAAGAGAGAGGACTATACGAGTGACTTTTAAAGATACATTTATCGAATATAATAAATCAAACTTTACGTTTTTCCGAATGTGTAAAATCTTATTTGAAGATAAAATTCATAGAAGAGAAAATCCATACTTTATGTATTTCACTAAAATACTAGATACACAGTTCCAAAAGTTTAGCACTTATCTAGATCGAATTTTGCAATATACCACGTTTATATATTTCGTTTATATCTCGGGGTTAAATTTTTGATAAAAAAAAAAACATACAGTAATATATAACTTCTATCTGCATATATATTAAAGTACTTCTCTCGATGATGAGTCAGAGTCGATCGACATCGCGACAAAAGAGACTGCGGCCAGTATACTTGAAGCGGAATCTAGAGTCGTCGATGGACAAGTACGTGCGTACTTCGTATGTACGTCAAAGAACAAATATAGCATTCGTTTATAAGCGTTCCTATTTTTATGTCATTACAACGGAAATAATACTATCTTTCTTATACACTGTCGCACATGTTATAACTCCCAAGATAATCCGATTTTATACTCTCGAGTATTCAGATATAGCATCTCAGACCTCGTTTTTCATCAAAATAGCCGTAGTATAATGTAGATCTAGGCATGTGCCATGTTTAGAATCTAAGCTCCAGGAAAAGTTCCAAGTGTTCCAACTCTTTTCTAAGCCACATAGTTAGATTCGCGGACTTTATTTTCCATAAATAAAAGCGTCAATCTTGACACGAATGATAAATATGGCACCATATCGCTACGGCGTGATTGCATTAAACTTTATTTCACTTTGACTCGATTCTTTAAAAAAAGCGAGTCTATTATTAACATGGTTAGATATCAAGCATAGAAAAAATTATATTACTCCGGTACATATATCGTATGCAGTATACACACGTGTATGTTTAAATGCTTATCGCTTATGGCTGTTTTAATAACATCGCAATCGTTAAACACCTGGCTACTGTTTGCACATGTGACATCATCCACCTTTATCTACCTGCGCGAGGTGTTTTAACTCGAAACCAAAAGCACGATTTACAAGATTCAATTAATAATTCCTAAAGTAATTATAATGAAATACGAATTATCTCGATTTCTCAACGTAAAAGATTTTTCTCCTTGTGAAAACAAGAGATCTTTTTGTAAACAGAATTTCTCTAATGTTACGCTTATGATCTTGTCCCGAATTCAATTTTCACATATAAAAATTGCAATATGCTTCTATCTAGTCCACAAATATAATCTCTTTGCATCCTGTCTTCGTTCGTGACAGAACTGGGACAGCGTGACGGTACTCGGCGCGGTGGGTGCTCCATACGTTCGAGTATTCGAAGTAGCCGATAACTTCGGTTACATATCGGAAACAGAGGATTGTCGAGAGCGCGCGAATCGCACTTGCGCCGATCGGTCCTTCTACTCTCCCCCCCCCCCCCTCCTCCCGTCCCTCTCCACCCCACCGGACAAGATCCATTAAAACGTAATCAATGAAGAGCCACTACGTAGAATCACGAATTACGCTTCTCCCTCCCGCGCGTAGTTTTCAGAAGCGGAAACTGCGGACGAACTGGGTACTCCGGCGTGGCTTCGCAAGCAACGCAACTGGAACGGGGAGGTAGAATAAGTAGGTTAACGAAATTGGTCGTTCGCAAGCTTGAGATACCGCCACCAATTTCCAGTGGTCCTCAACTCGATTCGAAGTTCCTCCCAGCCGACGGGAGCCAGAATGCGCCACGAAGCGACAACAATTTTCCAGTCGGTTGTTCCTCCGCCGTGCCACCATGCATGCATGCGCAAAACGTACTTTGTACGTAAGCCTCGGAAATAGAAGATGTTCCTCTCCACTTCCCCGTATCCCGTTTGCCTCGCGCAGCTCTTTAGAGAAGATCTCCTCGAACTACAGCCAGCACAGGATTTCGCCTCGAGCACCGAAGAAGAAAGGGAAAAAGGGGGAATTATCGGGGAGTCTTAAAGGGAAGCGGCGCTTGATTAGCGCATACAAGAAAGACATTCCACGAGTGGATTCTTCGCGGTCCGTTTTTATTCCGGATCGCTGTCGCGTTTCGCTTCGGCGCTAATTGCATTACCATCGACACTTCTTCCAGATTCTTTTCTCAATGTTCGCATCGTCACGCCTATTCCTCTTATTTCGTATCGCACAATACTAGAGCATCATTGAAGATGACGCGAATATAATTGGAGACATAATTAGCAATTAGCTGTGTAGTTAATAATTAGCAATTATTATTAGAAATTAGAGAATGTAATTAGAAAATGTAATTAGATACATCATCAAAATAAATTTTTTTGACTCATAAACAAAAGAATATTTTTTCTTTTGTGGGTATCAATATATTACACATGTTATTAAGTTTATCACACACAAATAACTTTTATTTACACAAAGTTCTACACAAAAATTGGGAATTTATAAGTATTTAGATTTGAATTTTAAAAAAAGACACACAAATTACAACAATAAAATTACATCAATTATATTGATTTATTGATGATATATATAAAATATCAAAGTGAATAACAAGAATATTCACAGAAATATTTTTTTAGCAATTATGATTTTGGCAATTATACAATAATAATTAGTTTGAGACAACTAGGTTGATGTAGCCTTTAAAAGTTAGCTATTTCACTTCTCCATTCTAATTACGTCCAGAAATCGTCATACCAATCGTAAGGTAACTCTTTCCATTATGATTAACGTGCATACAATTGGACGATGAAGTTGACACTATGACCTCTCTGACTCTTGAATCTTAAGGTGACATTGCTGTGTCCAGGTCCACCATTCAGAATACTAGCGTATGCACCGTTTCCATTGGTCTTCTGATCCAATGCTTCGACCATAGTGATACGTTCCCATTTCGAGATGTTGAAAGTCTTCTGAACAATTTGAACTTTCATCCAGCTAGAGTTTTTGACGACGCTCTCTCTGAGAACGAGTCTGTCACCAGGCAGCCTACCGCCGACGATCAGATTGTGTGACTTGTTAGCGGGAGCGTAGGAAGCTCCATTTGTCGGTACAGTATTGATGGTCAACAGAGCAGTGACCAAAATAGTCAGACCAATTATGTATTTGTATGCCGACATTTTGACTTAATTCGCACTCGAAAACTATTCCGTTATCACTGCAGGAAAGCTACTCGAGGTCTGTCGGCATAACGAGCGATCGGCGCTTAAATACACGCAATAATCTCTTATCACTCGACTTATCATGATTGTATCTGATGAACCATCTTGTTCTTAAAAAGATATATTCCGCGAAAAGTTCCAATCAATACAAATATGTCAATATGTTGAAACAGCCCCTCTCTCTCTCTCTCTCTCTCTCTCTCTCTCTCTCT